TGGTTGATACAAACTTTACGTAATAACGAACGGAAGAAATCTCTTTCGATCGAGCTTGCCGATTTAGGAAAATGTTCCTTTCTATCGCTTATGCAGTTACGTAAAAGTGCCACTCCCGTGCAGGGTAATGAACAAAGTGGGTGACTTTCGTCTCGTCCACGTATAATTTTCGCCAACGTAACTATATGTGTATTGATAGATATATTAATGAAAAAACAAACAAAAAAAGCTACAGGCACGTTAACGCTCGTTTCCACGTGTCTTACCGTACTCGACTCTTTCTACTTATCAGTTTGGCGTGGAGTATAAAACGATGCAACGTAGATAAACCCGCACCTTTCACTCGGAGAGCGGATAAGTTCTACCAAAGATCAAAATCATTAGCTCAGGCAAAAATTGTAAGCCTATATATGTGGCCTGCTTGGTTTTTCAAGCTTTCGATTTCAAAATAACGCGGTTTATCGACGATTGACATATGTACGAAAACAACTTACTTACTTCCAAGTACTGGAAAAAATTTTTATTTTTTTCTTTCTGATCAAACATTCCGTAAAAAAAAGAGAAAAAAAATAACTCGAGACGTAATCCGTCCAACAATCACTCACTCGTAACGTAGAGGTACTCTATTTCCCCCCCGCAATAAAAACCAACTCGGCAAATTCCTTTTCCCAATCGGTCGCTCGGTATGTATGTACATGTATACACACGAGGCGTCAAGAGCTATTATATTTCGGGCTGCCAAGTTTGCTGTCAAGGCCAAACGCGTCCGGCAAACCGGTTGCTCGCCTGCGAGCCTTACTCTCCCTTTTCTCTCTTCCCCCTCGTTCGTATCCTTTTTGTTTCTTTATCGCTTATCGCGCTCGTCTTCATTCGTGCACGCCTGCGGAGAGTCGAGTTTCTCCCCTCGTAAGGAAAATAAAAGGGAAAAACAACGCCACGGTGTAACGAAGAGATGCAGCCGCGTACCGCTTGTTTCCCGGCGAGCGCCTGCGGTGCCGCGTAGAAAATGATAGTGCTGTTGGTACCACCGCTCGAGTGAAACCGAAAGTGAAAAGGGAACGAGCTAGCGAACGGTGAATCTCTCGCAAGGGCGATCCGATTCCCATTCGCTCGATCCCCGTGTCGTTGAACTCTCCCCGCGTGGGTGAGAAAAATCAGATACTCGCTCTAGTGACCGTTTGTTCATCTCGACTCTGTTTCCCGCTGGAAGCTTCGAGAGGGACGGACACGTAGCCCGGACCACGGGTGGCCGGCAAAACTTGGCATCGCAACGGCAACCGCAGCAGCGCAGGGTATACAACGAGAGAGAAAGAAATGCTGGGTATCGTCTCTACGTGGGTTAAATCGGCCAGCGCGGCGGTGAGTGCGCCCAGCGTGTATAATGCACATTGCGTAGGGTCATCCTTCCCCTCTCTTTTTCGCTTCGTGATGAGAGCACGAGCGTATTTTACCGACGTGTGTCAGCTGTTATACTTCTGCTGCCGTTGCCGCGCTTTTGGGTCGTTTGCGAGGTACAAGCTCCGAGTATATTAGGCGACCGGATGCGTGGAGCTCTGATGAAATCTAGTGTGGGAAGTTTTCTTTTTTTTTTTTTTTTTTCATACTGGAGATGAGGAATTTGATTTTACTGTTGCTCAAGACTTACATCAGTTGTCAGTTAGAAGTTCTCATCTTGAAATTAAGATCTTATATTTTTCGCGCGGATTTACGATGATCCTTAAGTTTAAATCAATCATTGAATATCCTCTTAATTCATTGTTGATGTAAACAGGGTATTCGGGTGCCAGTGGAATTTAAGTGTTTTAAAAATAATCGAGTAAAGTGTTTTGTCATCCGTGACAGAAATAAAAGACTCTGTCGTTTTTCCAACAACGTACGAGGAAACACCTGTATAAAAGTTATCATTTACGACGATAGCCTCGTAAACTGCAGTGTAAAAATGCAAAACAAAAAAATGGAAACAAAAACAAGAGAGCTCGTCTTGTGCGATCGGCCGATGGAAAAACATCTCCCAACCACTTATCAACGATACCCTCGCATTATCCTCGTTCTTTTTTTTTTTTTTTTTTTTTTACGACACGCGAGTCAGCCGTATAATTTCGCGTTTCCGATACGCCCGAGTGCGAATCCATCTCCGTTGCATTTACGTCCATCATCAAATATGACTGTAACACTCTTACGCGTAACACATCCGAATTGCAGTATACCATGCCGGCTGAACAATCAATTGCAGCATCGAGTTTTGCCGATGGTATAGTACAACGATCACTTCATTCGGTCAAACGCGAAAGAAACAAAATTTCAGCTCTTTTTCGTCCCCTTACCAAACCCCAAGTTGTAAAGTGTTGGTTACCTTTCCGCGTACTGCGCTCTTGGCGTGTACTTTGATTACACGTTTAATTGCATGGAATTACATTAATTTGATACACGCGCGCCGTCGGTCATTGCATTTCGAAAGAGCGAAGGAAACGGGACGACACGCGTGTAGGCATGTCTCGCAACCCACACCAGTGGCATTGTAAAATGCCCGTCTCATCATCCGCAACGGTGTACCCCGCAAAAGTCGGACGTACACCCATTTTTTCCGTCCCAGCTTCATTTTCCATCGTGTCGTCGCCAAAAGTGGCGGCGATAAACACGCCAGGGACTCGAAAGATCACGGCTACACGGGGAAGGAAAAAAACCAAGGATTGATACGCGACATAAATAGAGAGAGTGGCGAACAAGGCTGGGGGTAAAAAGCGCGTACGTGCCTAGCTTAGCGTACACGTATGAGCTCTCCTTTCCTTTTGCCTCCGTTGGACATTGGTTTTTCCTCCTGCGACTCGTATCCTTTTTTTTTTCGACATTCAAGGCTCGCTCGCGACTTGAATTGCTCAATAACTAATCGATCGACTGCTCTGTGCGACAATTGTTGTGTGCCGATACCAATTTTCGGTTCACATGCGACGCAGATTTTGTTTTCTTCCCCCCCCCCCTAAAACCATAAAGCTGGATGGACCGGTCCGGTCGGCTCATCCACTTGCTCGCGTGTTTTGTTCGTGCTGTGCAACAAAAAAAATGCGAGTGCGGATCGATAAATATACCGATGATTCAGGCGTTTATTCTCTCGGGCGTCTATTTTTTCAGCCCGAGGATTTTCAATGCCATGCACAACTAACACATTGGGCGCGGCTTGATTAATGCGCTGGCGTTCCAGGGAGTTCAGAGTGAAAACGTAACTCTGCAAAGAGGAAAAACATATATGTATGCGATTGGTGAATACAGCAAGTGTATTTTTTGAAGCTGCAGTATATAATGTGTTGTAGGACTTATTTGTCTAATTGTCGGGATTCGAGTTTAGTTTGGGAATTTGGGTCGGGTTGATTAAATTTTAGCCGGCGAGCGCCGACGAGCTGGAGATGTATAGAGAGGGACACCGCACGGGGACAGGTGTAGGCTAATGTGAATTTGAGGAGAGCCATTTGAATTAGCTTTAAATTTCGCGGGATATATGTAATACGTATTCCCGTTTGGTGTATTATGCGAGTGCACTAAAATGCGCCCGTGATAATGGAAAAATAGTTGATGAGAAAAGGAGCGCGGGATTCCTTCGTAGAAACGATCGCTTCGATAATCGAGAGAAAATTCATATTCCCCCCTCCCCCCGTCGGAATACTTCGACATGTCGATTAGTTCACTCGCGATGATACTAACGTGTGTTCCACTCGTACTCGCATGAAATTGCAAAAATCCTTCCACGAAAAATTTAGCTCAACTCCGAAGGAAAAAGGGCCCAAATTGCCCGCTAGAAGAAAAAAAAAAAAAAAATTACTGTCATGCAATTGAGGGGCATCAAAGTCTAAGATACACATAAAACCACTAGCGCGGCTCTTATTAAACACACACACATACACACGCTTGCTGGATATACAGCAGCAGCACAAAAGAGGCGTGCAGTACAACGTAGCGCTTGGTCTCCTTCTCTCTGGGCCTTAATAGGAGTAAGAGGCAAATGTACACACACACACACACACACACACGCACACGCACACTCACCGAGTATCTCCCGCTGTTGCTAGAGCCGGCCGCAAAGTGTATACTTGGTAGCGGAGAGTAGTAGACGCAACGACGCGCCGAGGATATATTTCGCAGTGGAGGCTCAGTTGCATCACTGAACTCCGGCTGCTCGTTGCGACTTTTCGCTTTCCTGTCGCCCGTCCGATCGGCAATAATAGCAGTCGTTTTACCTGCCGCTGTGACGTCCGGAAGCGCTCGCGTGCAGTACAAACGTGCAGCTATTTTAATTTTTACTCTCCTTTGGTGCGCGAAAGATCGGCAAAAAATCGGTTCCCTCCTCCTGCTGTTGTTGCTCTGTGCATGCTTTTTCTCTTTGAATTTTTACGCGCGATTAACGATAATTTTTTCTCTGGCTCGATCGTTTTCGCGCTTCCTAACCGATCGCTTGCCGATTTTTCGCTTCCCACGATTTTTGTGCGCGGCACGATTCCCCTCGATTTGCCGTACGCAGTTGGACTTTCACTCTTTGCCAGAGACGGAAATTACTTAGCACCTCAATAAACCGTGTCGTGAATGGATAATCACGTGGCTTTGTCCGCGTCTTCATCGCAAGCGCGGGCTTTGGGTGATTTTCCATTATGAGGACGCCGGGGGTGCTTATCGCGGATTAATATACGCGTACACGCGTTGCAACTGTTAATGAGACTTTACAATGGGATAATTACACGGGTGACCCTCTGCGATTATACTCTCATCGGGAATCTTGTATACTTATCACTTGACGACGGTTTAAAAAAAAAAATTTTTTTTAACACATTAAGCACAGTAACATTAATATTTGTGTAAAATTATCCGTTATTTTAATGCTAATTCGTAAGGTTTGATTATACTACAGTATAGTATTGGTTGGGATCATATTCTAGAAAAAAGCATTGACATCCGGAAGAGTGTCCACAATTTAGTGTATTTTGTTTCAGAGCAAAAACAGCCTTGTTTGTCACGAAAACGAGTTAAAAAAGATTTTGTTGGTAGTATTGATAATGATCAAATATAGCTGAAGGTGCAAGTGAAACAAAACAAAAAAAAGGAACTGAAACAGTTTTTCGAAAAGCGAAGAAATCGCGGAGTGGACGCACATGTTCTGTAACATAATTATCCAATAGCATCATTACTCATGTCTAGACTGGAGAATGGAGTCATTGCAGGACCAATCGGGCTCACGACTTTGGTATTGAAATTTTTTGTTGCTAATTAATCATACGACTCTCAAGTTTTTTTAATTACTTTTTAGCGAAAAAAAAAATGAAGCTTTACAAGGTTTTTCTAGTACAAAAAAAAAAAAAGTAACACTAATACAAGTCATCAAATGAAAATACTCATGTTCAAGAATGGAGTAAGGAATTGCGACTAAAGTACAGTTTTCGTTTAATAAGCAATGAAATTATTGGTAAACCGCCAGAGCGTCCGGTCGTAAAGAACGAAAATGACAGCGGCACTCGAACGGCGATTGAAGAAAAAAATCACCCTCCCAACGGAGGCGCTGAAAAATCCAAGAAATGAATAGAAGCTTCCGGGAAACATCCCGCGACACGTTTTATGGGTCAAGCAAATGACCAATGAACTTGAAACAGGCAATCCGGTATACGCGCTCCCTGTTTGTTGCTACTTTCTTTGCTCGAGTCGTTCGTGTGCAGTGTTTACCCACGGAAAACCGAGAGAGAGACTCCATTAAACGGCTGTCTCGAGTGCAGGGGGGGGAAAAAAAGATCCGAGAGAGCGCTGGGAAACGCGCTGGGCCGATCTTGATCACGTCCAGTTGGATACAATACTCTCCTTGCGAAGGTACGCGTATGTATATGTACGGCATTCAAAACAAAGCCAATTGTGAATGCAAATCCGAGGCCGGTGCACTATCAGGCGTAATTGCACTATTAACGTCGGTCAATTATTTAGTCCCCCACCCCCTTTCCTATTTACATCCAAACAGACTCGTTATACTAGTGATGATCGTTTAGGTGACAGATAATCATATACACACGAGAGAGGGAACAAAAAAAAAGGGTACACTAAATGCACTATGCTCATTGTGTACGGACGGGCGCGGGTAAAAAATGCTTACATCAGCTCCCTCGATGACAATCAATAAAAATAATCACCCAGGCGCTTAATAATACATGTACCAAGAGGTCTCTCCGGGACGAGTATTGAGAAATCATCTTTTATTTTTTTTTCAACAATACCAGTCACGCGAACGACGCACTCTGTCCTCGTGGACTCAATGTACGGACGATAAATTGGTGGTTGTGTTGATTGTTGCAGCAAGAGAAGCCGCTCGAGGTGGACAAAAGCGCCAAAGGAGGCAGCCTTGGTCCGGAAAGCCCCGGTGGCCGCGAGCGCACGGACAGCGGCTGCTGCAGCTCGTCCGTGCCGACCAGCGACGAGGAGGAGACCGCGGCCATGCCCGAGCCAAAGGGAGTCGCGCCCCAGGAGGATGGGGGTGATGGACTCGCGGATGACGAGGAGCTGAGCCTAGACCTCGACCACGTGCCCGACGAGGTGCTCGAGTACGCCAGGACCCAACTCGGGGAAACGGACGAGGTCAAGTGCCAGACGGTGCACGAGCTCCGGGAAATGATATACGGTGAGCACGCGGTGTTAGCGCGCCGTTTGACTTATGGCCCCTCTCGTGTGTACTTTGTGTGTACTCACGATAGGTCGCGCGTCTGACTATGACCCCGGATTGGCCTCGATCGCGATCTTTTGCGTGTGTCCCGTAACTTCTCCCTCCTTTTTTCATCCTATATAGCCATGCATCCAAGTAGGTGCACCGGGAGAAAATATGCAAACGGCCAACAAAGGTGTAACCGATGGCGTGCGCGTTACGATTATAAAGTCTCGCTTTGCCGTGAGAAGGAAAGAAGGGGGAAAAGCGCTCGCGTCGGAAGGTATTTAATTACAGCAAAAGGGGGCCTCTTCCCCCCGCGCTATTGTTTATCATCGGTGGCAGAGAGAGAGAGAGAGAGAGAGAGAGAGAAAGAGTCCAATAACTCTCGTGGTCTGGCCTCGATGCCGTGGCGGGAAGAAATCGGCATACGAGAAAGACCGGCGTGTTTTTCCAGAGCAAAGGAGGAAGGGAGGGATTTCCCTGGGTTTAATCAGATTTTCGAGTTAAAAGTTACCATTTTTTCGTTCGGTTCTTCCCCCTCCCACTTGTGTGCCATAACTCGTTGCGCTCCCCATGTAACGGTACGCGGGTGAATTATGGGGCCTCGGTGCACACCCGTGTGTATATCGCGCGGACGGTGTGGATCTAACGAATCCATCCGATGAGATATAGACCGCGCGTTGGCTTATTGATTCCCTGGGAGCGTATTATCCGGGGCGTCTTATCAAAAGTTATGGCGGGCACACACACCTGGGTATAATGTACCTGCGTGCACCTATTTATGACGCGAGCGACTCGGTTAATGTTTATCGCTCTATTGAAAATGGTCCCGAGTGAGTCGTAAAATTTCATTGAGCCCGCGATACGTGTACACAACTGCGCCGGGTGCTCGGTCATACGAGGGTGCGTTGGGATATACGAGTCGTGATTTTTCATTTGTTTTTTTGTCACCGAGTTGGGGAGCCGTGGTATTTTGGCGCTCGAGGTTGTGGCGTTGCCAATTACTTTTTTGAGTATTCAAACAAAGCAAAGTCTGTCGGCGGGGGCGATTCGGTTGGAATGCCAGTACAGGAGACTCGTATACTGCCTACTTTTTTTCCTATTGCGTAACCATGTAACATTTTTGTCCCCTTACTACCATGAAATTCGTTTAAATATCTTTTTCATCCCCAAGTATAGTGCAGCAGATGATGGTCCGCAATATCTGACTACGTGTTGAAAAAAAAAAAAAAAAAAAAAAACATCCGTGTCCTAGAGTAAGGCCCAATTTGTTTTTCCACCAGCAAACCCGGTGAAACAACGATCTCTCCGTCGAAAAAATATTTAAGCTGTACGCGCAAATTTTCCCATCGAGGTTATACAGGTAAAAGCACTCAATCCTCCTCATTCGCGTGCGCTATCGGATCCTCCTGGCGCGACATTTCGGGGACGCGATCGGCACCCGCGAATAAATAAATAACCCCCAGCGCGGATCGGCAGCACCTCGGACTTTTCTCCTTTTTCAACGAGCAAGGACATCGACGTTTCTCTGCGCGCGAGCGATAGGTCGTACGTGCCATTCAAACGCGAACTGGTTAGCCTAGAAAAGCCGCGTTGGCCGTGTATCGGCGTTACCAGGTATTCCGCAATCGGCTGTATGTTGTATGCGCTCCGGAGGAAGCACGTGCGCCATCGTAGGCTCGGTTTTATACACAGTAGGGCTGGGTCGGCGTTATCTCCTTTTTTTTTTTTTTTTTTTTTTTTTTCCAACGAAACAATGGTCCCAGATACTGGAAGGGACATTTATATATATCTTTTGGGTCAAATAAACTGCCATGCAGAGTCGGATTTTCGCAATTCACGGACGATACGCATTCCTGATAACCGCGACACGAAAGTTATTCGTGGCAAGGTTTTTTTTTTTTTTCCTTCTCTCCTTCCAAGAGTCGTAAAGCTTGTAAGCGCCGGAGCTCGGTCTATTAGTCTCGAGTGAGAAATAAATTGAATATCTCCGTGAGATCGAGGATTCATTATTCGATGCAAATTAACAATCACATAACAATAATAATGGTAACAAGAAATGGATTACCCTTGGTACATATAATAGGTATAACATACAGCATGTGTATATATTTTTCTTTTCTCTGCACGTCTCTTGTTGCAGAACGAGGCGAGTGCCTGCCCCACCGAATGGACGACGACTTCCTGCTCAGGTTTCTACGGGCCCGCGATTTCAATGTCAACCGAGCCCACCGACTGGTAAGTGTTTGCCCATGCACTCTACCATTGGCTTGGTAATTGAATTCTGATGGAATTTCTTTTTTTTCATTTTTTTTTTTTTTTTTTTTTTTTTTTTTTTTTTTGAGCTAGTATTTCAACTTGACGGGTTTTCGCCGCGGGGAAGTGAATAGGATTTCGGTTGATTGTGCGTGGATTGCAGGAACGACGAGTTACGTTTCGCCGGCGGCGCTGCCTCATTTGCTCGAGGAAAATGGAATGATTTTTCATCGGGACTCGGTCGAGTGATTTTTTGCTGAATTAATACACGCTCCCGCCGACACAGCACAAAGTATGCAAAGCAGATTGTATATACACGCGTTGGGGTAACAAACAAAAAAAAAACTTGGCAAAAGTAACAGAGACGATTAAGTTGCAAAATCACGTTATAAGTATTCCCGCTCCGCCAGTCGAGCGCGCCCTCGTCTAGTTGGCGATTTTTGCCCCGATTGTTCAGTTTTCGCTTCGTATGATCCGCCCAACGGGAGCTCAACGAACCCATCGCGCGAACCGAAACACTATACACCTCCCCGGCATCTCCTTCACCGCCACCACGCGCACACACGTACATCCATAATATGTATACACGTGCACCAAACACGATCCACGCGCGTAATATTGATTTACGAGCAAAGAGAAGTGCGCCGGCTGTACGGAAGGGCGGCAGGGGGGGGGGGCTTGGGCGCGGCATTTGGTACACACACACACACACGTATGTGGCTCGGGGTATCGCTATTTTCACGCTCGGAGGGCGGACGCACAGTTAACGCTGCAAACCTAATTTGTTAATGGGCTCGTTTCGGTCAACGTGTCCCTGTGTGCCCGTTGGTTCGCTCCCTCGTAGTAAATTTTATTCGACAGGTGTATCGGCGAGTGTTTGAATAGGCTGACAATGGTTTATTGTCCCCATTTGGCAAATAGTCCAACTATATATACCTCGATCGAGTAATCGCGAAAAACTCGGAAAACGGCTGTCTCGCGGGGCTAATCGGGCCATTTGGGAGGAGGAGGAACAAAAAAAATAAACGACCCGCTCGGTGAAGCCAGCGTATTAAGTACACGCACGCGTATGGAGCCTCGGTCTACGAGTAACAGTCGATTACGGGGCCCGAGGCTCGTTGCTTCGCGGGAATTTGAAAAATCGCGTGTCCGTGGTCTTTCATCGGATAAAATGAGGATTTATCGAGTAAGCCCATCGGCCATCTCTCACTCGATAGCCGAAGGAATCTTTTTTCCGGGGCACCGAAGCCGATGTAATTAATTTACACCGCGGTGGTAAATAATTTTATCAATTATACCACGCTCCTACTATCTACTAGTCGATGCTTATCGAAATGGGTTTTCTCGGTGGTACGAGGACTTTTTTAACACCTTGTACAACTCAAGGATGAACTAATGCGCCCGCCAGCGAGGTCCATCTATCGTGTCCCGTGGTATTCGATCAGAGTCCCAATAGCCCCGTTGTTGCGTTTGGAAAAAAAATACACGCTTGTTTTATCCTATCGAACCAAAATGATCGCTTGGTAAATATCTCCGAGCCTAACAGACCTGCATACCGCATTGGTGCTTAAAAAAAAAGGCAAAAAAGAAACCGCGAGCCATAGTCGTGAGCAATAACAACAGCTATGGAGCCGTGTCAAGGTGAGGCAGCGTCACGAAGAGACAAGAGAGAGAGAGAGTATACCTGTGAGCGTGTATATATATATGTATATGTATGACTCGTAATTCGATCGTATTACGGCTCGTTTGCCATTTGCTACTTACGCGCACGACAGAGGCGCCGCGCGCTTCGGCAATCTTTCATGCACCCCTGTCTGGTGGAAAAGACGGGACTACCAGCGCGAGGTTTATTTATTTTCACTTGTTTTGGTATTATTTTTACGACTAGTAATAAGTATGTTTTTTTTTTTTTTTTTTTTTTCCATTCACATGGTTACAAGTGCTTGCCCGCAGTTGATTAGTTTCCCCCTCCACACATCTGCTCGTAATGATTTAATGGCCATGGAAGATTTCTCGTGCATCATTTACGGGGCATCAAAGAAATAAGAACCGATATGCTGTAGCTCGCAATTACCATCCGCGCATATATATATGCATACTGTGCCGATCGCGGTGTGATAGATAAGGATAGTCATCGAAGGCTGTGACCTCCCCGACAATAACAACATTACCAGCGTGGGGGAAAAAAAAAGGAAACTTGGGGGGCGACCGATAAAAGTTTTATCCCCCGATTGCACGCGGCGACCGCGATTTACTTTTCCACGGGTGTATATATGGCGAAGCACTAAACCGATCCGTCCCGAGGAACAACGCCACGAAGAAAAATCATCGAGTACAGTTCCATCGCTCGAGGAGCAAAACACGTCCGCTTGTACCTGCACTCCTTGTACGTAGCACTAACGACGCGCGAAACGTACCCTTGTCGTTCATTGATCCTCTCTCCGAGGCCCCGTCAGCAGCAGCGTATAATATACGTGTACAGAGTACCTACGAACACGTACACACTTGCCGAAGCGAACGCACGCGAGCGCTGGAATTAATTAGAAACAGCAGCGATATATACGACACTACACCGTGTATATATAGTTATACGGACGCCTACGTGTGTTGTACCCGATGTGTGGAGGCTTTTTTATTTCGCCTGTATCTATCTCCGGGACAGATCTTCTCGCGCCTGTACAGCGGCAGAGTAAAATTTATTTATCGGCGCACGGTGCCACCGTGAAAGTATGCGTCCCCGAGTATTGTATGGGTATACACGCGGGAGATCGGTAAAAATCGGTTCGGCAGAGAGAAAGTTTCGAGAGCGACGGCTAATGGTCGTGAGCGCAAACAAGGAGTAAGGAACAATGAGTGTGCGAGGACGCGCGCGTGACGCTCTAATTGGAGGGGAAAAAGTCTAACCTACGGGTGTCCCCTTTGATGCTCGACGACGGATCAAAAAGGACATTTGCTTCGGCTTATGGCGATAACGAAGGGGAGAGCTAATTTTTTTGTTTGCTCTCCTACTCGACGATTCCAGGGGATATCAATCTGTTGTGCATAGCCAGCCGAAATAGGGAGGCTCTGATGCGATTTTCCCCGTGAGCACCTATAATCGCATAACCGCGCGATCGAATTTCCAAACGCGCCAACGTCACACCTCCGCCTACGCGCAAACGCCACGGAGTAATTGACGCGTTGTGCCGACGAAGCGCCCGTAATTTCCTATTCGTTTCGGGGATGAAATTTTAGTTTCCATTGTAAGCTCTTCCACGTGGATGAACGGGTATCGGATTTTTTTTCTCCAACAATTTACACGTAATGTACACGATCGCTGAGATGCCACGTTCATACGTGGACAGGAAATGCGATTCAATTTCACCTTTGTTTGTTCATCCCCGTAGGAGCGGAGGGCATCAACAGGCGATTCAAAAGCAACGATTGATTGACCACCGGGAAACGCTCGTGGGAGCCGATGTACGGCGTGACGAGAGTGTGTTATCGAGATTTAGTCCCACGATAGTCCTTGATGGCGCATTGTGACGTGCTCTGGGTTATTGGAAAATCAGACGATCGAAATTGCGTGTGTTGGACACCTATTGGGTCTTTACTTTTTTTGCACGGTGATTATAATTTCCCCTTGTTTTCGCCATTACTCAACCGCGAGGCGGGTGAACAAAACTCGTCCTTGAGAGTTACGCGGACGCGCACTCCATCACCGGCTCGATGAATTAACGATACGCAACCGTGCCTCATCGATGCTACACGTAATCCGGCTCACTCTCGCTGATTCGTCGCACCAGTAGCACACCTAATGTTCCAAGATGTAAAACCTACCCGGTACTGAAAATTACAACAAAAAAAGGAGAATATCCATCTATAGACCCGGAAGTGGCTGCGGAAAACTGGCCTCCTTCGACCAGAGGGGGGTTCGTAAATTATTATTATTCGCAGCAGGGGTGCGTCGTGGCGTAATTTACCGCCCAGCTCGTTCGCTTATCCCACTAATGTACGGCTGTACGTGTACATAAATTTTTCACCAACGCGCATGTCTGAATTCGTGCGTCTTGGAATTTTTCTCCTCCTCCCCTTTGGCTCGTGCTCTCGAACAACGTCTGCGGTTTAAGTAATAATGGACAGGGCCCGCCTTGTTTCTTAATGAACTTTGGAGAGCACTTGCAGCTAATTAATACTGTACAGAAACTTATTTTTGGCTCGGAAGAAAAATCGGCCTCAAAGCCGAGCAATGGGTGGATCCTGGAACGAAGAAAAAAAAAATAGTTGATTCATATTGAATCGCCAAAATATAAGAGCCGATCGATTCGCAGATAGTCCGCTACTACACGTTCAAAGAGGAGCACCCGGAGATCCATCAGAACGTCAATCCCGTGGAGATGAGGCACATCGGTGACGACGACATAATGACCGTACCGGCGTATCGTTCACCCTGCGGCAGGCGGATGATGATCTACAGGATGGGCAATTGGGACCCGCGCAAGTACTCGGTCGAAGAGATATTCAAGGCCACTGTCATCATACTCGAGCTCGGCCTGTTGGAGCCGAGGGCACAGATACTCGGTGGCATCGTCATCTTCGATCTCGAGGGCATCACCATGGCTCACGCGTGGACTGTCACGCCTCAGGTATGATTCTTTTTTTTTGTTGTTGTTTTTTTTTTCTTCAACATCCTTTATTGTGATTGATAAGGTTGCCAAAGGGGGGATGATGAGGGAAAAAAACTATTCTTCATTATGTATGGGGGTACTGTGCCACTTGGTACTCAATCATGCTACGGGAAATTGAAAATCCAATCAATATTGTTTTTGAAAACAATAAATGCTTAATCAACGGAATTTCTCCTTGTCCTCGGGGAATTGATATCCACGTATTTCACTGTTTTAAAGTAAATATACACCGCTTGGACCGTTGAAAATTTATATTAATACAGATCACAATGAAACTCGATTTCGGCTCGTTTGCAGCGTACAAATACGCGAATCGGAAAATATGATTCGTATACAATGAAATTTTCCCGAAATACTCGTACGCATGTAAATGAAAATTTGTTATTTATATAAGTATTACTCTACAATTGTTAACTGTGCGTGCGTTCAAATATAAATTTCGAGCTTCGTCGCGTAAAACTGTTTACACGCCCCGAATAGTATTAGATGCACAGTAAAACTCATTATACGCGTGTTATACGGCGACGGGCACGCTCTCAAACGTATTCAATTACGACGAAGCTGAGCACCTGAAACTTTGCTTTTGAGCAGCTGCATCGTACTGAATTTTGCATCGAATTTCATCAAAAATGAGTTTGCGCCTATAGCTTCATGAACCTTTTCCTTCTAGAGCACTCGAGAGAAAGTTTCATTTGCCGAATGGGAACATAAATTTTTATCCCCTCTTCTCGTGTATACGTCAGCTTTTTTTAGGCAAATACCATGAATATTGGTGTTTTAGCCCGAATGAAAAAGAAGAAAAAGATTTTTTTTATTTAAAAAATAACCAAGAGCTAATTTAATGTTGAGCATGAATATTCAAGTGTTTGCCGTAATTGTAAGACTTTTCACTGTCACAATGATTTGGGAGAATACAAAAAATACAAAAAAAGTTACGTTTTTTTACGAGGAAAATAAAAAAAAAAACCAATATTGAATATAAATTCTCAACAATAGGTAGCGAGCATCGTCCTGTCGCTAATAGTGGCGGCATTCCCGATGACAACCTACGCCATCCACATCCTCCACCAGTCCTGGATCTTCGATACGATGTTCGCAGTATTCAAGCCACTGATGGACGCCCGCATGAACGCCAAGATATTCTTCCACGGCTCCAACATGGAGAGCCTCCACAGGCACATACCACCGGAATACCTGCCGAAAAAGTACGGCGGCACGCGCGAGGAGCTGCCGTACTACAAGTGGATCGATGCCCTGGGCAACGACCCCCGCGTCGTGAAGGAAATGAAGAGCTTGGGCTACGTTATTCCAGACGACATCGGCAAGGAAATCAAAACTAAGAAGCTCTAGTGGGCCGCTACTCGGTTTGGCTCGTTTTTCGCGATTCTATTGCGTTATTTACTTTTTAAGGGTTTTTCTTTTTTGTTTTTTTTTTTTTTTTTTTTTTTTACTGATTCAGTTGAATCAATGATAAAATAGGTTATCTCTGCTTCAGCTTTTAGACTTACTTAATATTTGATATGCGTATTGTAATTGATTTTCTAATGCCTGATGTGTGATATTTGAGGAAAGATTATTAATCACTTTTTTTCATCTGTTTTCAAACTAACGCGCAACAATTAGGATATATCTTACGAGTAACAATTAGGATAAGAATAATAATTTTTTATACAAATTAAGATGCGGGTTGCGACAATTTTTTAACTGAATATATTTGAACTACCTATATCAAAATAACATATGTATACAAAGCAAAAAAATTGTATTTTTTATACAAAAGTTACGGAAAAGCTATTTTTTATAACAATTTCACGTGAAGTATCAAAATAATTATATTTTGTATGGATATTAAAAACTGTATAAATTTTACAACATTAATTGTACCGTACTAGTCTAAAAATAATAGTAACAATAATAATAACAACACAAACAAATGATATTAATGACAATAACTGAACGAAGAATCGACTTGAAACACATGTGCCTATAGTTTCAACTTTATTTATTGTTAAGTTTAGTAAGGCAATTCAGCGACTAACATAGTACCGAGTGCAGCGCAATTAGTTTATAATTTTTGTACGACTGCAATCACAACTCTCGAGTTCGATCTTGAAAAAATATGTATATGTTGACTAACATACTAATATCATTAACTCTTTTTTACTTTGAGAAAAAAAAAAATTTATATACTGAAATAAAATAAAAATTTTAAGTAAAAAAACAATTCAGTCTCCGTTACATCTTCCTCAGTTAACCAACAATGTGATTGAATATTGACAAAAAAAATTAATAGATCTGTTCCCCTTTAATTACCACGGCAGGGAAACACTAAGTACCCACCATTCGATCGATCACTCCCATATGCAAACAAATTTTGTCCACATAAAAATCAAAACATCGAATCTCCAAGGCGAAACATATTTTCACTCACGATGATTAATACTTAGCATAGGAAGTAAAAGCCCTAGGCTGCTCTGCAAATTGAAAGGCAATCAAGCGATCTAAAAGGCTTTAAAAATGATATTAGTCAGGACACGCGCGAGCATGTACGCGTACGGTTGTTTTACGCGAAGAGCCACGCACAGAGAGCAGAGAACAAGACAAAAGAGCAAGAGAGCGGCTAGGGGGAATCGAGACAATTTATCGTGGCCGATAATTGACTATCGGAAAACGTTCCGTCACTTCCCCCTTCCCCCATGGCACTTTCTGTTTCCAGTTCTCGCAAACGAATACGCGGTACACGCAAAAGCACAGCCTACGGGCCTAACGAGTTTTTTCGGCTTCCTGCTGCATAAAGTGTCGTTACACTTGCGTGTGTAAGAAAAAAGACGAAAATACCACTCGAGACACCGTTTGCTGGTTTGCGGGAAAGATTGTAGAGTTTTGCAAATCAGTGTCTGACTCCAATCGGCTGTTTCTACTTGATACTTGAGTTTTCAGCTCGTGCTAATAATTGTTAAGAGTATTGATTGGATGGTTCTAGTAATTGAACAAACAATCAAGGGACGAATACACCAAACCCCTTCAGTTCAGCATGTTAATCGGTTGTATGAATACCATTGTTATTTTTTTCTAATGATAAACTATTATTTGGTACCATGTTCAAAACGAGATGCAACCTTTATAATTTTATAAGAAGAATCTACTAAAAGACAAGACAGCTATGTGACACCAATCGTCTGTCTCGACTTGAAGCTTGAGTTCGCTGCGTTAATAATTTGGGAAAACATTGTTTGTATTTTTTTTCTAATATTCAAACTAGTTATTAAATGTAGGAACTGTCCCCAAAAACGATACAAAACATTAATCAGTTTAAAAGGTAAGCTACTGGAGTTTGTGACAGCTGTCTGACTCAAACCAGCTGTTTCTACTTGAATCTTAGGATCAACGTACTGATAATTTAAGAGAATATTACTCATGGTTTGTTTAAATAATAAAATCAATAATTGTTAATAGATAACACATATGCAAAAATATCAAACCTTTATTACTTTAAACTGGAGAAATTATTAGATTTTTTGACAGCTGCCTGACCAATCAGCTGTCATTACTTGAAGTTTTAGATCGACGTATTAATAATTTGAACAATTATTGTCAGTTTTTTCTTTGTAATAATGTAGCAAACAATCACAATTAAGTAATATCTCCAAAAACAATATCAAACACTCATTACTTTAGGAGGAAGCTACTGGAGTACGCGCCAGCTGTCTGACTCTAATCAGCTGTTACTACTTCGAGCTTCAGTTCGGCATGCTGATAATTTAGGAAATACCATTCGTATTTTTTTCTCTTAATCAAACCAGTAATTACAACAGCGTACTATGTTAGAAATTGATATCAAAACCTCATTATTTCAAACGAGCTGATACAGAAATTTTTTGCAGCTGTCTGATTCCAATTGGCTGTTTCTACTTGAAGCTAAAGTTTTCTACACTAACGATTTGGGAAAAATGCAATCTGTGTTTTTTTTTTTACTACAAACATCTTGTATTTAGTATGTAGGTGTAATCGGGTGCAGAAGGGAAGCTGCTGGAGTTTATGATGGCTGTCTGTCTAAAATCGACTGTTTCTACTTAAAATTTTAATTGAATGTATAAAAAATTTAGAAAATTACCATTTATATTTTTATCCCTGCAAGTGACTCATGACTTTACACGAGAAGAGCTGTTAATGTTTATAAAAGCTGCCTGACTAAACTCGGCTGTTTCTACTTGGAACTGTAGTCGAGCACGTTAGTCATTTCAAAAAATATTATTTAAATTTTTTTCTAATGCACAGAACAGTAGTTACAATCAAGTACTTTACTGACGATCACAACAAAACCATACTACTTTATACAAAGAGATTTATGGAGTTCACGACAGCTGTCTGACCGCAGACACGGTTCTACTTAAGACTTTCTCTATGATTCATGTTAATAATTTAGAAAAAAAAAAAAAAAAAAAAAAAAAAACTGATGAAGGTTATTACTAGCTAATGAACAAACAATCAGGTACTACCTTCAAGTACGACATTAAACTCTAAGTACCTTAAGGGGGGGGGGGAATACTGAAATTTACAACATCTGTCTGACCCTTTTGGATGTTTCTACTTAAGTCCAGAATTCAACGAGTTAATAGTCTGGAAAAATACTGATTCTATTTTTTTTGGTTTCTAGTTTCTTGTTTGAGGTACAATCCTGAATTGTATGGTCCTTGTGATCCTTGGGATTCGAATCCTTAGCTACTGCGTGATTATTTCCCCCGTCTCCAGCCAAAAGTGTACAATACAAACATCTGTCGAGTACGTGATCGAACCCATCCGCATCCCATCCTTCCATTTCGTGGCACTCCAACTTCTTCTCGACAGTAGTGGTGTAACGTGTCAGGAGCACAACAGATTGTCCAACCTCGATTTATTTTTCCATAATCGTTTTTGTTTGTCCCTATCTCTCACCCTCCACCTGACGTTATGTAAGGGAATTCTCAGCGCTCCCTCGAATGACAATGTGCCTTCCTCCCACTCACTTCGCCCACTCCACTCACCCACTCTTACAATAGCGGGTCTCTTCTTTAAACATGAGTGCTACACTCGGACGAATCTACGAAAACTCCAACCCAAAACACCACGTGATTGTAGCACTAATCATACTGGTATATGCTATGTGGTAGGTAACTATTGTCAAAAGAGCTATTACGAATACGGTGGGCTGGGACATGTCTAGCACAGCTGGCGAGATGGGATTACAACGTGTCAAAAGCACCTCGTTCCAATCGTCCACAAAAGAGCGCAGCCGTATCACTCGTCCAACTGGAAACGCAATCACCCTTTTCACGTGTACATAAATCCTTTTCCCCTCGCCGAGAAAAAAAAAGAGAATCATCTCAATCGGCGAGCCCTCTATATCAATAATCTCCCGTTACGAGATAAGGAAGAGTCCCTGAGCTAATCTTAACCCCCGTCCCTCCACCCGACGACTCTTCTTTCTCAAAAGGCCTGAGAGAAAAGCCTCCTTTCCATCGCTCCTACGAGCCGAGCTTTTCCTCCACTTCCCTTTTCTGGGAATAAAACTCTCATGCGTGGGTACACGGGATGGGATTAAAGTACGTTTTGTACGATTTCTGCGACCACATCGCCAAGGTGATCAACGAATTTCTTTCGTGCTAAATATTTCATGAGTCGTCATCGATAATACAAACGAATATAATATTTTCGCATTTAGCTTGTCTAAATTCAGAAGAAAAGCAAGCACAGGTCCGTTCTTTATCTCGTCCGGAGAGCATCCGTTGTTTTAAAAGGATTCGTCAGTGATCCCCACGGCACATTAGAAACCAACGAGAAGCCCCTCGAATACCTCTATTTTCCCAGAATCCTGTTTTTTTTTCTCCGGGCAAAGGATGTTGTCTTGCAGGATTAAAAAGGAAGATGAAGATTTTGCCGGCGCGCAGTTTCCTCTTTGAGGAAATAGATTTACTTTCCAGATTTCCCTCTAAATGAATATCGATAATGCGCTCCAGCTCCGGTGCACCTCCTCACCATCCAAAGAGCCTCTCCCAACCAACATCCTTTCTTTTCGCTTCGTTTTTTCTTTCCTCCGCCTCTGCAGAATAATGTTGTTATTGAAATACAGGCCAGAGCGAGGTAGCAACTCGCCAAGGTGGGGATTTATCTCTGGAAATGAAGCTCCCTGATGGAAAAATTTTCCACAATGCAAGTAGTTCACCGATAGGTAAAGGATTTGTAACGATGAAGCTGCAATTGGTAATCGGATTTTGGCGGTAGTTTGCTAAACTTGATGATGGTGCACTGAGCAGTTTTATTAATATGATCACGATGGAAGATGGAGGGATGAAAAAGCATTGGCAAGATTCCCTACGATTCCAAAGGTGAACTTTTCCAAGCCATTTGCTCGGCAAACACAATTACGCCGACGGTCTTGCGTCATCCCTCGAAACGGAGGTACGGGGGGAGGGAAAAAAGCTTGGCTCGTTAAAACGGCCGGTCTGAACAGCGATGGATTCCCTTGCCTATCTAATCTTTATGGACAAACCAATCGATGGCCGTGGTTGATTTTTCATGCCCACCTTTATAGGCGAGAGAGGTAAAGGACAAAGGATGGAAATTTCATTGATCTTTCTGAATTGAATCGAGTTTTGAATTATTTTAACCTCTGGAAAATTGACTGGTGTCGGGCATCATTATATCACGCACTCTGGAATACAGAGTGGGGCTTAGGGGTAACTATATATTGGACTTTAAGTCTTTGAGCCAACAGAGCTTTTTTCATTCATCGACTGATTATACGTTCAAAGTTGTTTTAAAAACATACAAATAGGTATAGGAGGAAAGTTTGTGAGACGCCAATTAGCTTTTCTAATTATGGCAGCAAAGAGTCGCGTGGAAAGGGGGAAAAAAAGACGGATCCAAGACTCGAAAGAAGCCGTAATTACTGACAGTGTAGTATCCCAGGGAAAAACAAGCATGGAAGAAAAGAGGAGACACCGTAGAAAATTAATAACATTAACGAACGCCAAAGGGGATGGGACGACTCTGCGTCGCTCTTACAAGAGACAGCCTCGTCGAGCAGTTCGGGCACGTAGGTATTCTGAATTTTGCGAAGCTTTTTTACGTGTGCACGATACATAGGGGATGTTGTGTCAATGATAATTATTCTTTCTTCGTATTCCAAGGCTAGGTTTTTCTCAACCAATGCTCAAATTGGACAAATAAATGTCGTTGAAAGAATTATTTTCATAAAAAGAGAACGTATTTATTCGTTCATTGTAATTATTCGCCAGTTAAATTAAAATCCAATATTGCAAGTAAATGCTGTCAGTTATAAATTATTGAAACGACTCGTCTGTGCAAGTACGTGCAATATGCAAATATGCAAACACGATCCGAACGGGTGACTGATGCGAAAAATCTTTTAATCAATACACCCACCACTCAATTATTCGTCCACGTCAAAGCGTTTTATTAAATAAAAAAAAAAAAAACTCTCATGAAAACTTGGCAACCCTTTAATTACTTATTGACGATCCAAAAAAAGCGAGTGCCCAAAAAATGCCCTAAAAATCCAATGAAAACTTTCAGGCAAGAGCGAAAAAGAGAAAAAAGAAAAAGAAATCAAAGAGTCTCGAGCAACTTTCACGCTTATTGTTCAATCAAACCCCTGCCAGTGCCTTTAAAACTCGTGAGAAAAAAAAAGATGGGAGTAGAGGAAAAAAAGCATCGAAAACATTTATCCACACTTTTCGCGCAACCCCTTGACTGGTCCTTTCACACTGTACATCCTCGGTTGCGGCCGCATAACTGTGGGCTTCCCTTTTTTTATCCTCTCCAGCCCCTCCTCTCGCCCTTACGTCCTCGAAATATTCAGCCGAAGGTCTCGCACGCAAGCAACCCCAAACTCCGCAGTAGAACGGCTCAGCGTACGGTCAGACCTTCGATAGGGCAGCCCGAAACTGACCGTCATTTTGAGTACGTAATTAAAAACAAAAAAATGGGATCGACTGGCGCTTTTTTGAAACACTGTTTGTGAGTGTACGAGGTGGAAAGGAATGTAATTGGTTATAGCAAGAGGTCAAAAATAAAAAGAAACATCGAAGGTAGGTTGGACAACGTGATTGAGATTCTTGATTGGAGAATACATTTGTTTTCCCGACACTCGGGAAAGATTCATTCATAAAGGATGTATGGGTGAACCGACGGAAATCAAATTCCTCGCACGCATGCCGTGATGTAAAGATCATCGAGCCGTGACTCACTCGCGGTCTCACCCTCTCATATTTCATCCTCAGTCGAGTGTCACGAGTTAATGATCTCCCTTGGAGTAAAGGCACACGTGGATCTGACGTATTGTCTCGAGAGGAGAACAAACGACGAAGCTCCCTTTTTTCCCCCCTCCCCCCAAGCCAATGCTCCCCAAATGCTTGTGTTTCGGGGGGAAAGTTTGAGCAATGAGTACAGATACCACAAGGACAATGGTATATTTTTGCAAGTGAGATGAACAAGAGACTCTCGAGATGGCTCCAAGGAAGACAGAGAGAGAGAGGCGACTTTTTCCACGTTTTTAAACCAGAAGCTAACGAACGAATTGAAAATTAAGATCCCAAGATGACACATGAATGGATGGGGAGACGCACAGCGAGACAGAGGGATGGAGGGGGAGTTAGAGAAAACTATAGCGCAGGAACACGAATAGTGAAAAGATTCGACTGCCATTGTCCATGCAATGACAACAAGAGCACCGAGGACAACAACAACAGCGACGACAATGCAGGAAGAAAAGCTCGAAATGAAAAGCTCATCGTCAACCAGCCAGCCAACGTCTTTCTTCCCGTCCCCGTTGGATATACGAAGACGAGGGCGCTCAGCGAAAAAAGCAGCAGCTGAACGGAGAGAGGAAGATACGTATAAAGAGGGGGAGAGCATGCGGGTGCGCGCGCGCAGGACACGTTACTACTGTACACCCGGAAAACAAGAGAGAAAGAGAGAGAGAGAGAGAAAGCTCGTAGATAGGTGGGGATGCTCGATATCGACCCGAGGAGGGCTTTTTCCCTTCGCCGCTGGTGGGACGACGCTAGCAGTAACCCGGCCAGTCCCCCGCGCGCGGGCGGTGTGCATGCAGCTTCCGCGTTAACTTCGAGCCACACGTATATACATACTCAACACCATCATCTCGCTGCTCTCAAACTTTGTCGTCTGCTCATAGGAGGGCTCCTGTGCAATATATTGTACTCGGTACACCGAGCACAATTGGTTTGGTGCGTGCGCGCGTCCGATGCTACCGTAGCCCGTGCTCGTGTTTGCCCCAACGTTGACTTGACCTACTGATGCACAACTTACGAATGTGTGCCCGTTGATTGACGCGAGGTGTAGGGCTCGTGCTCCAACGAAGGGCTCTTGGTGCTCCCCCGAAGTGAAGTTACATAGTTTTTTTTCCCCTTTCTTTCTTTCGTGCCCCACGAGTGTGTGCTCTCGGGGCATTATTGTTTCCCTACTGCCACACCTGAGCTTGTTTTTCCGGACATCCGAACAATTGGAGAAGACAGGCCAAACGTCGATTTCAAATTCGAAATATACGTACATTTCGCCACGACAAGTGAAAAAGACAGTGAGCCTATCTCGGAAAATCAACACCGGGACGTGATATCAGCGACACGGCATTGACTCGAGCGCGCCGATTTCGTTCGTATATACGACCGGAAGTGAGAATGAAGTCCAGCGTCGGCGAGCCGGGCAGCCGAGGGGCAGCGAGGATCAGGTAGCGAAAGTGGGTTACGAGCCAATAACTCCAAGCATGAGAGCAGCGGCGACCCGTTTGACGATTCCGAGACGATGCTAGAGGACCTGACCGGCCTCAAACTCGCCAAGAGTACCACCAACAACAACAACAACGACGGTAATTTGGACACCATTGAACTGAAGGAGGTGAAAGTGAGGAAAATGCCGACGGCCGAGAGCACGAGCAACAGGGCCTCGAACGAGGAGTCGTACCTGAAACGCGGTCGGCCCTCGAATCTCCTGCAAACGAGTTTCTCGAGCGCGAAGCTCGAGTCCCTGTACCACAGCTCGTCGTTGCAGCAGCGCCGGGGCGGGCTCCAGTGTTTCCTGGTGGCCTCGGTGTGCTACGATGCGTACATCCTCTTCCTGCCGGACACGGAGTCGGTGAGGCGCGCGACGACGCTCGTCTGCCTGGTCGTGAACCTCGGGCTGCTCGCGTGGGCCGAGAGGGGCACCAAGGCGCGGGACGTGCTCTGGTCGTACGTGCCCCACGTGGCCTGGCTCGTGGCCGGTCTCCAGTTGCTCGTGCAGCTGTTCCTCAAGCAAACCGAGCCCACGCCACGCGACAGCCTCGGCTGGCTGCTCCTCGGCCTGTACCTGCACTTTGCCACCCTGCCGCTGAGGTTCTCCTTCTGCGCGCTCGTCGCGGCTGCCACCGCGGCCTCGTACATGCTCTCCGTGGTCTGTTTGACCAGGCCCGAGACCGCGGTGCCCCTCGAGGTTCTCGTGAGTACCATTATGTCCTACGTGTGCCTATTTTGTGAGCTCCGTGTGGTGATTGGCTTAAAAAAATTTTTTTAATTAAAAAAAAAAAAAAAGCGTGATCGGTAACAATTGATCGAACCGCGAGGTTCAAACGAGCGGGCGATACGTGTGTGGGACGTGTGTACGATAGATTGATCGGCCAGCGGTGGTGAGGGGAAGTTTTCCGGTGATTACGCTCGATATTGCAATAATAGCGTCAAACTCGGCGCTTCCGTCTGTACAGCTGGTGGCATCTGCCGTTGTATTTTTATCGTTCCGCGGAAAATGCTTTATTGGAATCTCGGTGTTTTTCCTTTTTTCATTAAACTTTGATTGTTTCGTGGAAAAGGCGCTGGTGCACTTGATTTTGTCGGAGATTTACGACTTTGACGCGAGGATTTCGAATTTGTTTGACAAAAAACATAGTTTTACCTACGAGTCAATGGTTGTGTGTCGTTACGTGAATGAAAAAACATCAGCTTGCAATGATAAATCGTCACCACGGTGCCATGCTGTAAATTGAACCATTATTTTCTCGTCAAACCGTATATTCGCGGTCCATTGTGAATCAATAACATTAATAAAACGCGAATGTTGTTGTATTTCCCCAAACAAAACAGAGAAAAAATACACAAAAAAAAAAAAAAAAAAAAAAAAAAACAGAGCACACAGTTAATTCACGGATGGAGTATCGAGTTCATTGTGCAAAGCCGGATGTTGTACGAGGCGATGAAAAAGATTGGAGGGTACCCCGTACAAACAGTATTTGCCACTGCTGTTGGATTGACGCTGTATTATAATCACAACAAAAACGCTTAGCGTATTTTTTCAAGCGAGAATAATAAACATGTTATCCATACAATCTCCGCTAAAAGTGTGGATTTTGCATCGAATTTGCACTTTTAATAATCCAGTGGACATGAAAAAAATGAAAAACCAATTTTTCTGATGTTTAAAAAGAAAAAGAAAAAAGAAAAGATAAAAATTGTAAACACGTAAAAAAAATGTTGCTAATCAACTAGTTATCTATTATAAACATCTACAAAAAAAAAAAATTCAATAATTGGAATGTTTGTACCGAAAAAAAGTTTTATTCGATTAGCAAGCAGCTCTATTTACCGGCGGAATAATGGTATACATACAGAGTCACCGCGAGACGGACAGCCAAATCACAGTATTGGTTCTGACAGTCCATTATCTGGTGGTCAATGCCGTATAGTCTCTCAGAGTTGATTCGACTCGTAGCTGAATAACATCATCCTGATGACAAAAGTTATGGATCCGGGTATCACCTATTATGTCACGTGTGTACGAGAAAAAGCAAGTCTAGGGCCTAGCTGTCCGTCCTGAGTAACACCTGTTGATGGACTCAATCCGTCCAACGAGACCCTGCATTTATTTATACTGACAAATGATTCACTGCGACTTTCACTTGCTAATAAAAGCGTAAAATTGTTTGAGAAAACCTCCTCCGAGTGGGTAGTCATGTCAAAAAATGTCTCAAAATCTAGTAGTACTAAAATGGTAATCTGACTATACTGTCCATGCAAGCCTACTCGGCCTCGATTTCAAAAGACATCGGACCCATAACGAGTGTAAAATCATTCAGCTACTTCGGAAAGCTTGGGTTGGTACGAACGATACCAATGATTCGGGCAACTTTGATAATGAGCTGTCCGCAAGGCGAGTCCAGATTACAATGTATACTTCCGATGGGCCACACAAAAGCTCAAAAGTTCAAGTATCACTCGTCCTTTTGACCATTCAAGCTTCAACTGCTGCAACAACGAATAACTTCAACTTTTGCTTGACCTATCAGGTGTCCATCGACACTCCCTGCTGTACTTGTGAAAGGCCGTTGTATTAAGCTTGTTTTCAATGTCGTTGTGAACTTACTCGAGGTAATACTGGCTCAAGCTGCAACTCGAGATGCATTTTCAATCGGTGCAGTTGACTGAAGACCTCATTAGCAGTTCATACCGTTGCATCGGTTAGCAGAACGTATGTGGTTTTGCACAATGGCCGCGGGACTCGATATATAAACCGTACATCTAGGGCCTGGGGATAAAGAGCCGCACATGCAGCAACTAAAAGCGAGCAAGGACTACGTATACGTTACCCTCTCGGTCTCGCTCGTCGCATTTACATTAACACATCCCCTACGCTATGTACACGTGTATGTTTTACACTCCCGCTCGTACCACACCTTCGACTCCTCTCCGCACGTGTGGAAACCTATACACACGTACACGTAAGGGCTGTGCTCCTCTTTCACGAGGCAACCTTGAAACTTGCAATTTGCAGCTCCGCGTTGGCTGCTACGCGAGGGAGCTGATAAGGCCTCCCTCCCTCCCTTCCTTGCTGTTACACAGGGATGAGCCGGGCTTTTTAGAGCGACGCTTGCTGATTCTACTAGCTTACACTCTCACACAGACGCTGGTGTAAGATATTATTTTTACATATTTCGCCGGTATTTTTCCTTCAACTTGCTCTTTTACCTTTTTTTTTGCGGGATTTTTTTTTTTTTTTTTTTTATAAAATATTCGTCTAATGATGATATGAAAATAAGCGTGGAGTGATTCGGGAATTCAAAAAGGACTTTTTATTTTGTAATCGATGCACATAAAGTGAGGGTGGCTCTTTTATTAAAATAAATTACCGGAGCCGAATAAATTTTTCGTTACAGTACCACGCGATCCATAAATTAGAGAGTGTTTATTTACACGGTCGGAGGTGCTCGTGTGACATTTTGTTTAATTATAACTGGGCGTCACAATAATTTATCATACGAATAATTAAAACTAACTCCGTACACGTACGTTTCGCCGCGTACACTGTCTCGTTGCGATGATGGAAATCGAAATTGAAAACATTGCCGCGTTAGCGGCGCTAATGATGTTACCCCTTGGTTTCCGGAAAAAAATATCTCATTAAAACTCGTTACTTCATTTAATCCTCACACCAGGGCCGTATTTGCTTATTTTCCTTGAAAACAAATTTCCGTCCTATCAGTATTCAAAAGCAACTCCCCAATTACATGGGCCTACACATACCACCCTGTAATTAACAACTTTACTTTTTATCAGCCAACAGCTCTCGAGAGCACCGCCGTCTTAATTTTACAGTCACGCGAGCCACGGACGTGAAAAGACTGAACAAGAAAAGGGAAAGAAGAGCCGATCCATTATTGGCAGCTCCATCGAACGGAGGGACAATGCCGATGGAATTGGAAATAGATTGCGAGTTGCGGGAGACTGCTGTGTAATACACGTGTACAACGTGTGTGCATGGGTATAGGTACCGCGAAAGCGTGGATTCTCGATTAAAAGCTCTTTTTCCCTTGAAAAACCTCCTGCGTGTCATTATTATTGTTACATGGTAGTTTTGAATAACGCCCGTCGTGCGATTCCAAAGTTTCTCGCGCTTCGTTAGTCCTCTCCCGGCCTCCCCTTTCTCTTTTTCTCTCTGTAGAGAAACACGGCCTGTTCATTAGGATAATTGGATCATGAGCGTGTTGGGCTCTTGATTAATAGCTTGGGGTTATATTTTTTTCGCTGTTTGGAATTGCAAGTATTTTTTTTTTTTTTTTTTTCATGCACAGCAATACGACTGTGTACGCATGAAACGTGCGAGGCTAAATCATTGCGGTTTTAATTTGCAGACCCGCGTTGTAGCGCCACGAGACAAGTTTGAAAAATACACGCAAACCCAAAAAAGCTATCAAGTGAGTATCTGACACTAAGATCTGTATCTAAATAGAAAAAAAAGGTTCATCTCGGGAGAGTGCCCAATTAAGTGTAGTTAAACATTAACCACATCTCAAAGAGTATGAGATGAAAAATGATGTTTATTTTGGTCACCTTCTTTCCATTCGAGATTCCAAGTATCACTTGGTGTCCATTTGAAATTACAGGGGAACAAGTGATAAGCTAGTTTCTTTTAATTTCCATCTTCAAAGTTGATGTTTTCAGATTTCTATTTTTCCATCATTCATCTGTTTACGCAGTTCTCGTAGCACACACGAAATGGTAAATAAAACTTGCTGGATACAAATGCGAATATGAGCCACGGGAGCGTGTTCCTCGGATGTTTCAAACCACCGAGAAAAAATAGTATCAGAGAACAAAGAACATCAAGCTCACGGTACTTCCGAACTGTTTTCTGGGATCGAATTCTCGGTGGACAAGCAATACTCGGCAACTTTTATTTTTCCCCTCCCGAGCATTGTACAAAAGTTTATTCCCGTATCGTAATCTTAGACGCAGATTCGAGTATCGGAGCCCGAGGGGAGGACTCTCGCTTAATTCTCGGCCTATGGGGTCTGGTTTCGGAGCGGTGCGCTCTTCCGAAGCGACCCTCCCTTTTCTTTCCATCCTCCGTCAGATTAATGTTCCGTGGGATGAAAATCTTTGCCCGCTCGTGGATATCAGTCACTCCGCGTTAATGCCGTTATTTATTCAAACCAAAGAGGATTCGGGCATGGTAAAATACATGTTTTTTCGTTCACTCGGATTTCACTCGGGCTATGAAAAACATGCTTTTTTTTTATAGTGAATCGTCGTTGTAACGTAATAGTTTCGATGAAAACTATTGGCTTAACGATACATCCATTTCTCGAGATAAGTTACCGATTATCCTGACCGTTGATTGTATCGTCAGCTACGAGTACTTCCTTGTTCTTCAGAGTCTCACCAACAGAAATAATAGTACGCCAACTTGAGGAGTTGAAAAAATACTTTCCTCGGTCCTCTTTTTTTTGCTCCAGAGAGCTGTTTCTGCAAGGAAAACAGCTTGAATCCATTTGTCGGATGATCAACTATTTATCAAACGTTTTGCCCTTACGCGCGTGCGTCAATCTCCCGACGCTCGACAACTATGAAATTTCCCGATGGAAGACCGAAGAAAACTCCGAGGCGCTTCCTCCCTCCTCGAACGCGTTCTCGTATCGATTTGGCCATCAGGGAAAAGTTTCCGAGCGAAACTGCCGGAAGATCAAAAATCTCGAAAAGTCACGTCCAACGCCGGGTCGACTTCTGTTCTGTCAAATTTTTTTTTTTTATCGTCGTTTTTCAATGAAAGCGAATCGCTACGAATTGCCCCAACGTTGTACACAAATCACCGAGCGCGCGGCCTACTAGTTCACCCCACGAGTTGTGCACAAAGGGAGTCCTAAACGCCAAAGTTCGCAGAGCCGAATCGTTATTGCTTTTTTTTTTTTTTTTTTTCAAAAATAAATGCGCTTAAAGTTCGCTGCGTCGCTGGCACACATCGTGACAGATACCTTGGCGCCTAGATGCACACAGCTATATTCGCGCACGTGCGACCCGAAACTTTCATTCAGGCGTGGCTGACGCTGCCAAGCTGTAGATTTCTTAAGTTTGAAAAAAAAAATAGAAAAAAAATTATTTTCATGACGGATGACGTTTCATCGGGTTGATGTTCGCACTCTCGTCCCACTGGCGTTTGTTTTAAAGGCAAGAGTTTTTATTGCTTTGCGCGTTTTTTCAAACATCTGTCCAACGCGTCGGACATTCGTTGAGTTTGTGGATCCATTAAATTCCAATCGACCGACAAATGTGAGGTTTTAAAAATGTCAATTATATTACTTGTGAATAAATTTCCCCCCAAGCTCCGTAAATATCTTGGACAACGTAACTAATTAAATTTGGCTGGTACATCGCAACACTTCCTCGACAAGGTACCTTTCCGATCTCTCCGGTATCTGAACATGTGTGACGAAAAGGAAGAAAAAAAAATCACACCGTAATATCAAAGGTACACCCAAGGAGCTCAGGAACGCAAGGAGAACAAGAAGAATCAAGGCCACTAGTCGATTGACGGTGGGTAGAGGCAAAAAAAAAAAAAAAAAAAAAAACTCTCAGCACCGAGCTCGATCGATGGGGTCCTGAGTGCCGCGTACAAGGAGGGAGAAATGGCAATGATGATGATGAAAGCCACAGGGCACACGCGATAAGGACGTCGCGATAGTATTATATACGCACCACTCGTGGGTGACACGTATACGCTTACAGAGGAATGTGTCCGATGGAATCGACGGTCGCGCTTGATTGCAGCGTGCACTACTATCTCTGCTAATTGCACGCGCGCGGGCACAAACGCACCCAGAGACGAGGTAATAATCATTAGCTTTACACGGACACGCTCAAAGTATGTGCGGGTCACAAAGGAGGAAATACTCTTATATAGGGAGGGAGTAGGTACACGCGTGCCAGGAAGAGATAGGAGGGACACAGAGAGAGAGAGAGTTTGGAAATTACTGCACCTGGCGCTTTGTGCCTTTGGCTCCGCTGGCCGGTGGGGCCTTTGAGAGCAGCCCGTTTGGGCTAACGAGGAAACGGCCTGTCGCTCTGTGTGTTAGCGGGTGTTGGGTGCTTTTTTTTTTTTTTTTTTTTTTTTTTTTTCGTGATTAAAAGTGCACTGATTGAGGCGGTGGGTTTACGGCTTTGGTTCGCTTTGGTGAGGGCGAATCGTGCGCTTCGGGGGAAATTTGGTTTATTTGGCTCAATGTTTGAAAAGGGAGCTTTTTGTGTGTTAGCAGAGATCGGGTACAAATGTTTTTTGTTTGGACTACTTTTGAATCCAGCAAAGATGATTTTTTTCCGACCGTAGCTTGCAAATAATAGTGCGATTTTAATTTTTCTTATTTATTTTGGTTTAACCAGGTTTTTACTTTATTTGTCGGGATATATTTAACAGAGCAAGGAAGAAGCTTGTTCTCTCGTTAAATCAGTTGAATTGTTTTGAAGTCAGCAGTGAGTAACGTTGTTTCTCCTTTTTTGTTTTTTTTTTTTTGAAATATCATAAATCTTAAAATTTAACACTTGAAGATCGGAAGTAAAAAAAAAAAGAAAAAAAACTACAATAGAACCTACTCGATAAAAAAAAAAAAAAAAAATCATCGATTCGCCGTGCTTCAGTGGCTGTGTTTCAATGCAACACCGTTATATCGAGGGACTCGGCGAATTCGCAGCTCTTTCAGCATCCATTCGCGTTTTTGTATTGACTCGAAACAGCTGCTGAGCAAAAATACCTATCCGCAGAGCAGAGGCTTGCGGAGCGTGGGGGCATCGATAAAATTTCTCAAGCAAAGCATTCAAAGTCTTTCTCCCCCACATACGTTCGTACGTAAGGAGGACTTGTATTGAAAAAAAAGGAATGTGAATCAAGGCATCCCTGGTAAATATAGAAAATCCGATACCATCTGACGAGACCATCCTCAACTACCCCTTATCGTCAAATGTTTGATGATTCGAGTATTTAGAATGAAAACAGCTTATCTCCGGAATTTACGACTCGTTGAAAGGGGGACAAATCAAGAAAACATTTCCTACTGTACGGGTAACTACGTATACCTACTTGCCAGAGAGCGCAATCACGATAAGAGCCAAACAGCACATGTGTATGTACAATCATGTGTGGGTATGTAAAACGCGTCGCGAGAACGAAAAAATAAAAAAAATAAAAATCGTGTCACGGGCGGGGTGATGCGCGATAAAAGTAAAACTTCCCCCACTTTGCTCCAACCCCTTTTTTCACCCGCAGCTGACCTGCTACTGGTTACGTTTAACGATTACGTCCCACGTGTACAGGCGCTGGAAAAGAGGCTTTGTCAAAGTCAAGCCGAAAACCTGCCGATCGGTATACATGCATGTGTACACGCGACCGTACTCTATTCTCATGGCACACTATGTCGAGTCCTACTCCTACGTGTTCAGGTGTTATCAATGCGAGTTATTTTGTTTTTTCTGCGCCACAGACTTTGGAAACTATCCTGTATTTAAAAATAAAACATCCTAAAACAAGCTGTTTTTCGGTACCACATAAAATTATCCGTGTACAAAAAAAAAAAAAAAAAAAAATCCTCTCGATTATTTTCAGATCCTGACGATAAGCTTGTGCGTGTGCGCGGCAATCCTCGGGGCGTCGACTTACTCCCTGGCGGAGTTCCAGCAGCGCCGAGCCTTCCTCGAGACGAAGCAGAGCCTGGAGATGCAGCTGGTGATCGAGGAGCAGAGCGCCGAGCAAGAGCGCCTGCTCCTGAGTGTCCTGCCGGAGCACGTGGCCGTGAAGATGCGCCAGGACCTCGACGCCACGACGGACACGCAGTTCAAAAAGATCTACATGTCGCGGCACGAGAACGTCTCGATACTCTACGCCGACATTGTCGGCTTCACCGCCATCTCGTCCACCTACTCGGCCAGCGAGCTCGTCAAAATACTCAACGAGCTGTTCGCTAGGTTCGACCAGCTCAGCGAGAGGTCAGTGCTTTCGGTACCACGTCAATTGGGAATTTACATTTACTCATTTATTACAATTATTTTTTTACTAAACAGTTGTTGTTTTGGGACTTCTTTTGCGGGTAACGTGGGAGGAAACGCTACAAACATGTGTTGTCTACATGAATATACATACATTCAATCTCGTAGTGTTATCACTTTTAGACTGTAAATGACAGGAAAAAACAAATGTAGAAAGTGTGTGGAGTGAAAAAAAAATGGCCCGTCGCAGATTTAACATATATGCATACAAGTGTGTCAAGTCAAAAGCTTGCACTCCTGTCAATCGTTGAAAAAAAAAAAATTTTTATTTCAACAAAACGGGCGACAAATTATAGTTTACGGAGCCTCTCCTTGGAATTTCTTAAAATATTGATCAACGTTACCATAATACACTAACCACGCTTTAAACGTGTATACCTTAACACGTATACACGAATGTGTAATGAAAAAAAAAAAAAAAAAAAAGAGAGATTATAACTCATAATTTAGACGTTTCCTACAGTCACCCGAGTAACAATTTTCTTCTTTTGACTAATCTTTCGCCTTTGAGAAGGCAAAGAAAGTTTCTTCCTGTAACCAGTCAAACGGACTTGGATCCAACAAACTTGGAACAAGAGGCCTTTCGCGAGAAGAAACTTCATCACCGAGAAGTACACCCATTCGGTCGTCGGGGCACAATGAGATCACTGAAATGTCCCCAGAACCAAAGAAAAATTAATCTCCCTTGCCGGGGAAAAGTTAAAAAAAGAAATTGGGTCGCACGCGCGCCAGCAATTTCGCTGAAATTCCACGAGAGCAAGCAAGGGGAAGTGGGGAGAAGCGTTGCTAAGTACGTGCCCTGCAGGGTTAATCATCTCACGGCTACCCCCCTTGGATACGTCACTTTAGCCGTACTTAAAGCCGAAAATCTCCGAGCGAGGGGTACAGGGGGGTAAGGAACTCTTGTTCGCGGTTTGGGCTATTTCGAGGTGAATAATGGAAACGCTGTGCTACCGTACAGCAAATGACCGTGCCGCCGCAGATGTGAAAATCGAACCTTCGTCCAACACTCGGCTCCCGAATTACTTTCCATTCGTCACTTTTATTCGGTTGGGGCTTCCTTATTTTCTTCAATCACACGACCAAATTGCTCACTCTTCGCAACAGCTGGGAGGGACGATAGTAACGAGGTACCTGCCACGACCTGATTCCGAAAGTTTGTTCGAGAAAAAAAAAACTACTTGCACCAAAAAAGTGTTTGTTGAAAAAACGAAATAACATCAGCTGAACTTCCCAATGGATCCAAACACTCACGCGCAACTCTGGTTATTTTCCAGAGCGGACTTTTCCGCGCACCGTGGAAGGGTAAACAGCGCAAACGCACGCCGGAATGTTGACAGTCCACCGCGGACGTCCGCCGCTCTCGGGCTGAACAAATACGACGAGCAAAGTGTCCGAGCCAGCTGGGACGCGTGTATGAACGATCGATAAGTTGTACATGAGGAGCAATAAAAAAAAAGGGGGGGGGAAGAGACTAGGCGATGGAGGGTAGATGGCGAAAAATAGATCCACTGCGAGAGCTGGCTCTTTTCTCAATGGGCGTTTACACGCGTTAGTTGTTCCCTTGCGTTTTGGTGGTCTATTCGGTGCTTATACGTATATAACGATTCTTTTGGGGATAAGTTTTTCAACTTTTTTTTTTATTGGCTTTCACGCGTTGTGTTACGTGAATGAGCAATAGAACGATATTGTGACGAGTGCGACAGGTGCGGTTTATCACGTACGGAACGATTGTTGCTTAGGAATGTTTTAGCAAACGCGTAGAAAAAAAAAGAATGTAAAAATCATAAAAGGTAGCGATAGAGAGTCTGATGTTGAAAACCAACGTGCCCCCAGATACGAGCAGCTGCGCATAAAGATCCTGGGCGATTGTTACTACTGCATAAGCGGAGCGCCCCAGGAGCGTCCGGATCACGCGGTGCTGTGCATCCACATGGGCCTGTCGATGGTCGAGGCGATCAAGTACGTCCAGCAGAAGACCAACAGTCCGGTCGACATGAGGGTTGGCATACACACCGGTGCCATTCTCGCTGGGGTGCTCGGACAAAAACAATGGCAATTCGACGTTTACAGCAAGGACGTCGAGCTAGCCAACAAAATGGAAAGCAGCGGACAAGCTGGGTGAGTTTGGTTTTTTTTTTTCTTTCTATTCGTGAAAAAAAAAACCTTTTCCTTTCAAAGATCCGAATGAATGGCTCTTGTGTTCCGCGTTGCCATACAGAGTGGTTTTTCGAATTCACCGTCAAAGCCAATAAATGAAATCGATTCCGGTAATAAGCGTATACGCGCGTATACAAAGGAACGACAAAACAACATCAAAGAGGCTCTCGAGCCATTCACAAAGTCCCCGCGATGCACCTGCATCCGTTCTCTATAGACTGGCCATGTTCATCAGAGCGTGTAATAACCATTATCTTATACCCGCGTGTGTATATATAGCGTACAACAGAGAAAAAAATGCACCTCTACGTGTGTGCACGTGAACGTACGCCTATGGACATTATTTGCAACCCAATGGTAGGTGGTATACTGCACGGTATGGCACGGAAGTCGTGTAGCTGGTCCGAGAGAGATAAGGCATGGGAGAGAAAAAAAGCTCGAGTCAGCTTTTTGTCTGTACTCAATTCATTCGAAAGCTCTCATCGTGACGTGTTTTTTGTTACTCCTAACCAGCTTTTATGGTTATCTAAGTAATCTTAAAAAGCGTGTCACCTCAGATATACCGATGATTTTTCACAAATTAATTACTCCTGTACACATCCGCAAGCTCTGTTGCGGCAGAGGTCACGCGGCCATTTATTCATTTCCCAATCACCCGGCCGAGTTATTTGGATCAAAGATACCCAGGGTAGCGTTAAGCGAAAGCTCGTAATCTCGGCCGAGAGAAAAGGATCACGTGCAATTAAAGCGTCAATTTCTTGTTAACGCGATCGCGCACGTATTCACAACTTGTCTCGGTGATTCGAGCAAGGGGTGAGCTCCGCGGCGATTCCGAGTCAAAAGAAGAGAGTTAAATTGCTCGGGGTCGACTTGTATCCCTACGGTGCTCGAGCACGGCATCGTTTGGAGCATCGCTCGGCATTTAGCTCCAAAGGAGTAATTACACTTGGAACGTCCTTTCCGATAAAACGACGCCGCTGCCGAGCAGGGGGTGTGTGCACAAAAGTTGAAAAAAAAGAAGGAGGGGAGGGGGTAAAGTCAGGCGACGGGAGAAAAGTGGATGGTCCCGGGAGTAAGTAAGGGTACGAGCAAGTGGATCCAACGCCGGCGTGAAGGACTGCACGGCTGCAGGAGAGAGCCGTCGGCTAAGAGGTATTAAAAAGTCTCCTGGCGCGACGTCCTATCCCCGGCAGGACGCCAGGGATTCCTATTCGGTGTATATACGAGCTGACTCGTGCCAAATTGCCTCTCGTATGTGTGTGTGATGTTTTGCGTGATTAAGGGAACGAGTCTCGTCGAGGCGATTAATTTAGGGTTCGAGTGATACGTTGGATGCAAGAATGAGTAAGGTGAGTCGGAAGGACTCGCTCGGGCGGAAATTTCGTAAAAAAAAGATACTCGCTGTTTATTTGGTACGTACAAATAGTAATACTATAGAATAAATTTCTATTCGTGTTTACCGGTAATAAAACCCTTCCCTTTTCACCTCTAATTATGGGAAACACATGAAACTGAGATCACTTGGAACTTTGAAGCTTCGGTTCGAACGAAAAGCTTCGGCTCGCGAGGCCCATAGGCATCATCTCCACTCGAAAGGAAGCCACGCACATACACACACATACACACATGCCGAGAATGAGAGGAAGGGCCGAAAGAAAAAGAGCCTTTCCAGCCCATCCGCTCCCGTTGCCAAGGGTTCAAGTAGTTCGTGCCATCTCTAAAAAAAAAGGAGAAGCGCGAGAGCAAAGGGAGTATAAGAAGAGCCGAGGGGGAGGGTGGGATATCGGGTGCCGTCCGCAGCTGGAATTTCCTGATTTATACGCTTATGGGTCGGGGGGGGGGAGCTGGAAAACGGGCGAGGCTTTTGCGGCGGAAAGTTTGACGCCGGTGGTTATACTCGAGCGCGCGTGTGCGGAGCTTTTATTTACACCAACGGTCGGGGGGGGGGGGTGGCTGTATACAGCACGAGAGCCGGCTAATGCCGTTTCCTCGAGGTTAACGATATACGATGGCTATTCTTCGGGGGGTTGGGTGGGAGAAAAAACTCGTCGCCGTCTCTGATACCGGGATATATGGACGATGATGATGATGATGATGATGGGGTAAGTTTCGAGTGGCCTTTTATTGGCCATTCGACGTGGCGTTTATTTACCAACGAATGGACTCTGCTGAGGAGTTGATGGTTTTCGAGTGTGCATGGGCAGAGATGATGAAATTGCTGTCTGCAGTCTATACACTCGCACACTGGCAGATATTTTGTAAAGAAAAGACGCGCAAGTTTTGGCGGAATGAAAGAAAAAAAAGCTCCGTATCAGCATTAAAATGGTTCTTCCCTCCTTGATTTCCGTGTCCCCCAGCCGAGTGCACATCTCGAACGTGACTCATCAGTTCTTAAACGACGAGTTCGAGGTGGAACGGGCGTACGGGGAGATGCGCGAGGAGGCGCTCAAGAAGGCCGGTATCATCACGTACTTCATAGTGAGAGCGAAGCGGCCCTTCCAGCCGGCCAAGACCAAGAGCTTGGCGTCCCTCAACGACGTCGAGTACATCCAAAAGCCCCTGCCCCAGGTCACCGACACCCACACCAAGGAGGACTCGGAGGAGTTCCGGCAACGACTGCGCAAGGAGCTAGACAGCCGGGGTACGTACCTCCCCTCCCCACCCCCCCCTTTTCCACACCTATACACAGAGACGTGTCAAAGTGTAGTAAAAATTATGAAAAAAAAGTGGGTGGAGGGGCCGAGCTCAAGGACCACGCGTCCGGGCTGACGCTGGCCTTCAAGGACCCCGGCCTGGAGAAGGGCTTTCACGGGGTGGAGGAGGCATTCTCGCCGCTATCCCTCCTGGGTGGCCCGCTGGTGCTGTTGTGCGCCTCGCCGCTCTGGAAGTTCCAGCCCTGGGGTCCGTTCACGTGGGGCGGTGCAGTGGCGGTCAGCTTGTTCGCGGTCTTCCTGGCTGGTGCCACCTGCCTCGGCCGCTCGATCCAGGCTGGTTGGCTCCGGCGCACCCTGGCCGTCCTCATGATCTTCTCCCTCGGGATCTTTATACTGCTGGACATGGTAAGACTACGGTGCCCTTTTTTTTTTTTTTTTTTTTTCTCATTACGTAAGTATCAATGACACGGTCGACAGGCAAACTGCGGGATAATCGAGAACCTGGACCCGCACAACCCGAACAGCAACGTGACGGCCCGCTACTCGCCCCGGTGTCCCTATCCATCCTACTACTCGTACATCGGGGCTCTGGCCCTCGTGGTCATATCGATGCCGACCTACATATGTTACTGGATGAAGGGCCTGATGATGTACGCGCTAGCCGCGGCTCAGTGCGTCATAAACATCGTTTATCTAGGCCCGAGCCTCGACCGCGAGGACTTGGCCAACGCCTCGCCCGATCAGGACCTCATACACCTCAAGTACTCGCTCTCGGCAACTCAGCTCACCATAGCCTTCGTCCTCCTACTCGTCGCTCGATACGTAAGTTTTTGTTTGTTCATTTGCTTGTTGCGTCGCAATAACTACAACTCTGGGTTTGATTGATTTGCCGTTGGTTTTTTTTTTTTTTTTTTTTTTTTTTTTTTTTTTTTTTTTNTTTTTTTTTTTTTTTTTTTTTTTTTTTTTTTTTTTTTTTTTTTTTCTATCTCAGGGATACAGTAATCTATTTCCCGGGGGAGAGATTGGAATCGAGTGGACGACGGGGGAGGGATGATGGAGACGATTAGAAATCGATGGGGAATTTTACGACGCTCCGGGAGAGATGAAAATTCATGGCGGTTGCGGGCGTAGTCGATTGAATTTGGAATATTGACGTACACAGAGATAGCGGTTTTAATGGTCATCGCTCGCAGGCAGGGCGTTACTTTTGTTTATTTACCTTTTTTTTTTTTTTTTTTTTTCCTCTTATCGCGGTGAAATGTACACCCGTACATGGTAAAGGAAAAACCTCTCCCAAGGTCCTTTTCATAATTCGAAGGCGTTTTTATAACCATCGGGCTTTTATTAGCTCTCATCGGGTTTAATTTAAGAATCAAGCTTTTTTTTGCGATCCCTCGCACGGCATGAAAATTCATTCATTCGGTCGTATAACTATTGTTAGAACACCGGTACAAGAGCAAAAAAAAAAAGAAAGAAAAAAAAGTAAAGTAACCGATGCAGTAAGGTTTGTAACGGTTAAAAATAAAATTGATGATTAAAAATAGCAGAGGAGGTAGAAAAATGGAATCTCGTCACGGCATTGAGAGAGAAAACAACAGAGGGGGGAAAAAAACATGCATCCTCATTAGGGGGGGGGGGGTGCGAAAAACAGGCGGAGAAAGAATCTCGCCTCAAAGAGAGCCCAACAACGACCTAGTTCTCGCATCCTGTAACCATCACGTGCTCGCGTGGAAATTAAATTCACACCAAGCGTGTGTGTGTGTCGGCACGGGCAAGGGAGGGTCGGATTGACCATTGATTAATTTAACGGATAAACGGCCGGCACTCGAATTTCTCGTCCCACGTCACAGGGGGAGCTTTTGTCCGTCTCGGAGAGTACGTATGTGCGTTTGCGGAGGAGAGAGAAAAAGGCCATAGGGAGGGGCGGCCTCGAAGAAAGATGAGGAGGCTGACTTTTACGAGTTAATTATGGATGCCAAGAATTTTCATTTTTTCTCTGGTTTACACTCAAAGACTCTTTGTCGTGGAGCCAATGATTATTTTTTTTTATGTTTTTGATTCAAAGCACCGAGCCTCGAATGATTTATTTAGGAGCCACTTTTGAGGGAGAGCTCGTGATGTATACACCAGCAGCAGCAGTCACTCGCGAAACGAGGTCGTCGTAAAGTCCCTGTTCCTCGCGAGCCATGCGATGAATTTTGCAAAATTTTAAGTGGGATCTCGTACGCGCGAAAGACGGAGGCGCTGTATACACGTGTACGTCGAGTAAGTGCGCATAAATCGGGTCCTTGCAGATGGAGCGAGCCCGTAGGATACTGTTCCTCCGAGGACGGGAGGTCGAGGCGCAAAAGGAGCGCGCGGCTGACATAAAGCGCCGCAACGGCGTCCTCATATTCAACATCCTGCCACCCCACGTGGCCACGTATTTCCTGTCGACGCGCAACACCCGCCACCACGACGATCTTTACAGCCAGAGCTACGCCGAAGTTGGGGTGTTGTTCGCCAGTATGCCCAACTACACGGACTTTTACAGCGAGGAGACCATCAACAATCAAGGACTTGAGTGCCTTAGGTTCCTCAACGAGGTCATCTCGGATTTCGATGCCGTGAGTATATATATAATAGCTAAAACTCGTCAACTTTCGTTTTTTTTTTTTTTCTGCGAGTTTTACACCGGTGTGCAATGCCTTGGTGCAATCAATGGTTGTTGTGTGATGATCTACAAATGAATCTCCTTTATTCGAACTGTATGTGTATACACAGGAATTAGAAAACAAGGAAAGTTCTTTTGGGTAATTTTATTTTCACATGGGGTTGCTTTTTGTTTAAAAAAATATCTGTCCGAGGACCGGATGATCGTGTATAATTATTTTATTGTCGTTTTTTTATTTAGATCCTGGAAAAGGAGCAGTACAAGGATATAATAAAAATAAAAACCATCGGTTCGACGTACATGGCGGCGTCGGGTATAAGCGACTCGGCTGAAGACGAGAACGCGCCGCCCTGGCAGCACCTGTCCCGGCTGGTCGAGTTTGCCCTCGAGATGAAGCGGACCTTGTCGGACATCAACAAAGAGAGCTTTAATCACTTCGTCCTGAAGATGGGGATCAATCACGGGCCGGTGACCGCCGGAGTCATAGGTGCCCGCAAGCCGCACTACGACATCTGGGGTAACACGGTCAACGTCGCCTCGAGGATGGAGAGTACCGGCAAAGTTGGCTGCCTCCAGGTAACGATTACCTCAACCGCTTTTTCTTTTCCATTGTCATAACTCGTCGTTTTGTGCGCAGGTGACCGACGAGACGAGAAAGATCCTCGAGCCTTTCGGCTACGGTTTCGAGCAACGTGGGCTTGTGTTCGTGAAAGGCAAGGGCCAGCTGCTCACCCACTACCTCATCAAAAAGGACGGCGAGCTCCTCCACCTCGATAGCGATTTGCCGGTCGAGCCGGCTCATCCCATTATCTACCAGTAAAGGAGTTCGCCCACTGACCGACTGATGGTAAATAAATCTCCAGGAGCTTTTTTAAAGAGCGAGACAAATAAAACCGAGCTGCTACTCCATCGGACGAGGAAGGAGACTTTGGGCAGCGAAGAAGTTTCGATCGGGAAGTTGTTTTTTATCTCCATTGTCGTCTAAAAATAACGCCCCCCCCCCTCGCAAGGGACGCGAAAAAGAAGCGTACAGGCGCGCGTGTTTGCTGTATATACACATGTCGTACAGGCGAGGCAGGTGTAAAAAGTCGCCCATCCCACCCAAGGGTCTCGTGCGTCATCCATTGTTGAGGAGATGATGATCCTACTTATAAGGAAAGGGCGCAAACAATGGTGATGCGAGATCGGGGGCTAGGGTGGACAAAGCAGCCAACGATTGTAATACATAAACTTATCTACCAGTTGTTAAAAAAAAAAAAAAAAAAAATCGAAATTGATTCTCAGGCAATACATAGGAGTAAACAGGTTTTTATTTTGTTTTTCCGAATAACTAAGAGCTAGTCGATACATGTGACTGAAATGGTGTATTATTCCTCTTACATGACAAAAAAAAAATTATAAATTAAACGAGAGAATGCTGTATGAAAAAAAAAAGATCAACGTTGATAAGAGGGAATGACGATACCGTAGCCCAAAGTCCTACTGCCGATGATAGCATTTAGTGGAACGTTTATTTTCTCGAGTATTGGAACATCTAAAGCTCCTTATTTTCCAAATTGAAAAAAAAAAGTGGTAGTGCGAACAAAGACTTTATACGGAGTGCACCTTCGAATGTTAACTATAACATATGTAATAATGTTGATGTGTACCTGTGTAATAAGATATGGAACCTAAACCCTGAATGGACGTAGTAGGGTAGATTGGAAGACGTTTTAGCAAATTTCTATATAAAAAAAAAATAATAATAATACAAAAGTCCTGAATGTCTTTGCTCGTGTGTAGAAAGATCTATTGTTTTTCTGAAATGTCAGTGCACACAGTGATAAAACGAGTCTAAAGTTACGTAATTTTGAAAACTCGACGTACAGCTTGAATATTCCATGGTAAAAAGGACAATTTACCACCACTTGACCATTACCAAAAAACGGATTTTACGGATAAACGTTTGCACTCTCGTTAAATAAATCTGAGGAGCACTAAAGTGCAAAGTCTCATGGGATGGGAAACGCGCGCTAGCAGTCACAGTCGTTGAAACTGAAATGAGGATTTCTAGCAATTAACCCAAATTACGAAGCTCAAAAAACTGTCGTTTGCGACTCTCGTAGGAGTTTCAAATTAAATAGCGAATTAAAGGCCGGTGAGCATCCATTTTGTGGCGAGCAGATTTTTTCTTTTATTTTTTATATATCCTAGTAACTGAAGGAAACCAATTGTCACTGCGTCAGAAAAAAGCTTTTAAATTCTCGATTTCTCGAAAGCTTTCCATCCGTGTGACGAAACAATTTTTTGGAGGAAAAAAGTATCCATCACGTCGAAAAACGCACACGCCAACACATCAAACACGCCAATAGAATAATAAAAATAACAAGCAGTATAATTAAAGGCCAACTACTTAAAAGTGCATGGCTGATGTTCATGACGTTATGCATCATTTTGTCCATTGTTTATAAACTTTAATTTAGTTGCATTTTGTTGTTTTAGGGATAAAAAAAATCGGGATGAATTTAGCTACTTATGCATTATTTTCAGATGTAATTGATTTTTAATCGCATTAGAATCAAAGATCATCCAACGATAAGAAAAATATTGTAAACGAACGAGCATACCGTACATAATTTTATTTTTTCTTACAAAATTACTTTGCGTGATGAAAATAGTGTGTTTCTAGTCATAGATAATAAATACAGCACAAAGATATATACACATATATATATATATTTTTTAATAAAAAAATAACTAGTTCATCAACAACAATAAAGTACACAGTAATAATGTATGTTTATTGTATTCAAGTGGTAATTATTTGTAAAGCATTTTTTACACTTGAGTGTATCCAATGAAACTAGCACGAAGATGTTTTCTGCGTGAGAAATAAAACAATACAAAGCTTTGACTGGAATTTTGTAATTGACGCTCGTTTGGGGTAAAAAATTAATGCCAGCGACGTTGGGATGAGAAAGTGCATAACTTGAAAAATAATTTCTGTCAACGAACTCGAGTTGGACGATTTATTCAGTTGTCAATGTACTTCAAAAAGCATAATTTTAATATTATAGTTGACGACCAGAATCTAAAAACACGAAACTGTATAGCATACAAAGAATTAAAGACTAATTTATTGCGTACAAAAAGACGATAACGTAAGTATATAAGAACGAAGTGACTGTAGCCGTTCTGTGCGGATGAGTGAGAAAACGTAAAAGTAGATACACGAAAATTGGTTGGAAACGTAACTGAAAACAAGAAAAAAGTAAAATAAAACAAAATAAATTATAATAATAATAGTAATAATAATATAAGGGAACAAAAAATGGATCCGAGCAACGGAGGGAGTGTGGGTGTAGAGAAAGTAAATCACTGGAAGTATAGTTGGCCACTCGAGTGGAGTGCATAGCGCGTAACGCGTAACGAAATAGATAACAGACAGAAATTCAAAGGAGTGTCACGTATACTAGCGATGTGTTGATATTGTTGCACAAAAGGTGCAGGGGATCGAAAGGAGGATACCAGTGGGTCTTTTTTTTTTCATTTTCCAAGGCCTTTTGGTGAGTGAGAAATTTTACAAAGCTGCGCAACGTTTCGACTGTTGGTCCGACGTTTGATCGAAGACAAAGTACACGCCGTATGATTTAAATAATAATGCGACGAATCGAAAGTTTTAATGTCTTTGCGGTCGAGATGAATTGTATCGAAAATAAACCTTTACCTTCTCATCTACGATTCTAAGGTCGCCGATATAGTATGATTGTAATGATAACTTATTTTTCTACATAGGCCGTTTTGAGCAAAGTTATCTCAGACAGCTGTACCCCTTCAGGTGTATGTGTAACAGTAGATATCGAAAAATGTGTATTGAAAAATTTTTAGCAAAAAAATGAAGTTGAATGGAACCAAACAAAAGTACGGCCTAAATCCGTAAAGTGCATGAGACGAACGAGCGAGAGAATTTAGCAAAAATATGAAAGTATAAGACACATATGCGAAGGTGAGCGTTTCATAGAAGTAAAAAAAAAAACAATACATCCATGTGTGTATATAGTATATTCACCTCCTTTTCCCACGAACATGGCTTATAATCGCTGACAATTCTTATTCTTCCATTATTGCGATTAGCTTTGTCGATGAGATATTATTTTCTTTCTTTTTTTTTTTTTTTTTTTTTTTAAATGTATAGTCAAGATGTGTCGTTAGGTTATTTTTTATTGCATTATAAAAATTGTTGTTTTTGAATAAACAGTAAAAATCTGTGATAATTTTGTATTTGAATTATAAAAGCGTCTTTGGGTAGTCATTCCAAGTGTACACATGGTATACAAATATTTTATGCCATGATTACAAAAAATGTAATGCTCTTTAAATTACACTTTTGGCATGACAAACATAAATTTCTATTTATCATGTTAGCAGAATATTTTCAACTGATTGAAAAAAAATTTTTGAATTAAACTAAGATATAAAAATTTAAACTCTTACCTGTCCATTTATTCAGATGTGTATCGTGATGTCCAACGTTCTGGAAACATTACAACTGATGTAACCTTGATTAAAGTTTAATGAATTTTAGTGATTTAAAAATCATTTGTACAAAATTTAAAAACTTCATTGTACAAACTTAACATCAATGAAGAGTTGAAGCTGAAAGTAGTAAGTTACGTTTATGAGTTTACTAAATCGTTACATTTAAAAGCTACAAATATACAACTTGATACCTACAAAGTAGTCTAAAAAAATGTTAATGATATTCAAATTTTTATAATAATTAGTTCGATATAAAAGTTAAAGTTACAGTGTCATGTATAAATTTGTTTTTGTTACAAAAAGAAAGTACCTTAACAAACTCGACAAAGCTAGTCACGACACTTTCGGATCTTTGTAAATTAGCAATAAATTAAAATCGTTAATATACGTGTAAATAAAAGCTAAACAAGTATATAATAATATGTAAGAAAAACTACGAGAGAGCAAGAAAATACTATTATTGAAATTTAAATTGATGATCATTGAAAAACAATTTCAAACAAAATACAAAAATAATTGTGGTATTATGAGTCAAATACTAAACCATCGTAGAGAAATGTGGGGTTAAGAAAAAATGTTTAAAAAATTATAATTAAAAAACATATAAT